TGGCCCCTTCCCTCTACCAAAAAAAAAAATAATAATGCTATTGCCGAGAATCGAACCTGAATTTTTTTTTTTTTAAAGTGGAACGCGCGTTTTTAGTCAAAACGACGTCGTTTTGCATCGTATGCACCATGCGCATGGTACATTCGGTTGCACAGCATAACTATTGCCCCTTCATAACAAGAATAATAATAATTAATTTTACCTTTTCAGCCCATCTTGTGATTTTAGGCAAATTATTGTGTGGACCATGGTCCATATAGTGTTGTATGGACCATGGTCCATATAGTGTTGTATGGACCATAAAAGAAAATACATTTTTAATATACTAAAAGTACATTGTAAAAAAGTAATATATTTTTAGTATTCAAATAATGTTTTTTTTTTTTTTTTTGAATGCTAGTATTCAAATAATGTAATTTCTCTTAATACAAAGTATATTTTTAATATACTAAAAGTACATTATTTTTGTACTAAATGTACATTATTTTATAACATACAAAATAATGAAATATGGTCCATACAATCGTCATACCCGTTTTGGCACTAGAGGTAGGCCAACAGACCACTCCCAGGTCCACTGTCATACCCCTTTTGGCTCCTCATCAGGTAGCCTTAGCCCTACATCGGCGACCAAAGAGTCCTGGCTTAGTTTGGTCGGGCGGGGTGGACGATTTGACTTTATGAATATTTTATTCGATCACAATTTACACATCATGATTTTTTTTTTTTTTTGTTATAATACTATAGTTGCTAGAGAATAATATCATTTTGATTATATAGGGGTATTTATGTCTTTTAAAAATATTCTATTTATATTCCTTAAACAAACCAAACATTGTAATAATATTTTTAGTCTATTCCTTCAACAAACCAAACAATAGTATATTCTTTGTGAGAACTACCCCTAAATGGGGTCCAACTAAACATTTAAAACTCGTTAAATTAGTCTCATCCGGTGAGATTCAAACACCCAAACAGGCAAACAATATAGTATTAGAATGACCCGCATGGACAGCTCAACTGGTCACAGAAGTGAAATTTTGGAAGAATGACCAGGGATCGAGTCTCACTAACGGCTGTTGGGAGCAACCTCTCAAAGTGAGGGGGGTTTCTTGTACGCAGTGAGCACAGCCTTTGGAATAATGTAGTACTAGAATGAATATATAAATAAATAAACTTAAGGAGAAAAAAAATTATAATGTTATAGAGTCACCAATTAACTTTTTGGCCTTGATTGAACTAGATCAAATACATCATAATCCATTTTATTTATAAACACGACTCCTACCCACCCACGAATCCACGATGGCAATGCAAGTCTCAAGCGTTACGAAACATGTGTTGTGTAGTGCATGGTTGGCGCACCGGTTTCCTAGACTCGGGACATCGTATATATTAGGAGGTATCATAAAGCACAGGCCAGCAGGTTTGCAATACGCACAAGCCATTAAAGTGGTCATCACAATTCACAAAAAGCAAAACAAACCAAACCCAGAACATCTGTCCTGAAACGTAAGGCAAACCAAAAGGTAAAAAGTTAAGGTAAACAAAAGAGAAAGTAAAATGGAAGTTGATGAAAGATGGGGTTATCCAAAGGCAGGTAACCAACAAGGAATAAGCCATGTAGTGGCCCATCCAGTTTGGACTTTGAGGGCTATGAAAAGATGGATAGAGCAGCTCAATCCATGCACGTAAGGGACACCTCAGACCTGTGCTTAATTGAGTACTAAACTTGTCAATCACATTTCCTTGTTTTGATGTGGCCTCGCCTGCTTCTTCAATGGCGCAATGCCACCTTAATAAGTTCACCCACACACCTCTTTCTTTCTTTCTGCTCAAATACCAAATGTAGCTATGTTTGATTTCAAAAGAAAATTATTCTTTCATTCAAACTAATGTTCATCATGGAAATTGGACGTCACCCACAAATTATATATTATCCATGGAAAAAATTAAAATCCATTTGTCAACAAATTAAATATCCTCATCCTATCCTAAAACTAAGAAGGCATAATATGATTAGTCTGTGGTATAGACTAGTTCCTCCTAGGTTGTAGGAATAGAATGAGTCTGTTAACCACTCATAGACTTAGGTGGTTTTGTGATTCACTAGGACCAATCGTTATACCGTGCACCAGGGCGCACATAGCACTGTGTGCCCCTTGCCTCCCAAAACGACGTCTTTTTGTTAAGTTGTTAAAAAAAATCCCATGTTTCGAATGCACATACATAAACTCATAACAGAATACACATAATCTAACATAATACATAATACACATAAACTCATAACACAATACACATAAACTTTTAACTGGATACACATAATGGGTTTGGTTAACATAATACACATAAACTCTTAACTGAATACACATAAATTCATAACACAATACACATAAAATTTTAACTGAATACACATAATGAGGTTTGGTCTGTTCGGATGGACGGAGTGATGTCAGTATGACGTCAGCATGAAATGCGCGCGTTTTGTGCCAGGGCGCACATTGCTATGTGCGCCGTGGTGCACGATATAAATTGCCCACTACGACCAAATCATGTGTGTCGTTTGAAAAAGGCCATTTACGGCATTAAATAGGCCCCGGCCCTGGTATATGGCATTATCGTCATTCTTAATTTCTTTTGGATTAAGGAAATCTCGGGCATGTTATTCTCTCTTTATTTATCAATCTGATGATATTATGGCATATTTTATGGTGTACGTGGATGATATAATATTGACAGGGAATTCTCCCGGGTTCTTGAGTCAATTTGTTGAATCCTTGGCAGCTCGATTTTATCTCAAGGATCTCGGCCCTTTGCGGCATTTTCTTGGTGTTGAGCTAGTTCCCACTCCTGCGGGTATATTTTTCTCTCTCAAGCTCAGTATATTACGGGCATTCTTAAAGAATTTCACATGCAGGATGCTAAATCAATTTCCACCCCGGGGTTTGCTATTGAGCTACATAGTGATGATGGTTCGGGCTTGGCGGATGGCGGTCTATACTGCCATGCTGTGGGCCTTTTGCAATACCTCTCTATCACTAGACCGGATGTTAGCTTCATTATCAACCGTCTGTCACAGTTCTTGAATGCCCCAACTTCGGTCCACTGGCAAGGGGTGAAACGTGTGCTCCGCTATCTCAATGGCACCGTGTGCCATGGCCTGTTTTTGCGTCGCGGGTCGAGTCTGACTCTCACTGCCTTTTTCAGATGCAAGTTGGGGTGGAATCCATGATGGGGAACTGTCAACGACAGGGTATGCTGTATATTTAGGTGCTAACGTTATTTCTTGGCGTTCGGTTCGTCAGAAAGCTATTGCGCGGTCGTCTACCGAAGCTAAATATCGTACCCTGGCGAATGTGGCCGCTGAAGTCATTTGGTTGCAGAACTTGCTGCTTGATCTGGGTATCCGGCTCTCCACTATGCCGATGTTATATTGTGATAACATGGGGGCGACTTATGTGTGCAAAAACCCCGTATATCATTCCCGGATGAAGCACCTCGCGTTGAATTTTTTCTTTGTCCGTGACCTTGTTGACAATGGGGCCCTACGTGTTCGTTACATCCGCACACAAGATCAAATCGTTGATGTGCTTACCAAGTCTTTACCACGTCGTCCTTATGAAGGCTTTCGCTCTAAGTTGGGTGTCTCTGATGGATCAACCATCTTGCGGGGCGTAAGAAGACATAATATGATTAGTCTGTGGTATAGACTAGTTCCTCCTAGGTTGTAGGAATAGAATGAGTCTTTTAACAACTCATAGACTTAGGTGGTTCTGTTTGTACTCTTGGCTATTTAAGCCTCCTTTGTTTATTGGTGAAATGCATCGTTCATTCTATTTCTATAAAAACTAGGCATGACTACAGGCCTATTATTCGAATTGATCACATTGAACAGAACCACACAAGATGCAAACCAAACTTTAATCTGAACTGTACAATCAGTATTCCATTCACGGAATCAGAACTGAACATTCTCTATAAAGTTCCATTTTTTGTTCCAATTACTCATAAACCATGAACAACTATATCAAAATCAGAATTGAACTGTGACTACTACTTGAAAGAGCATACTGATTGGCATAGTTTCATCTATTAATAATGAAGGATTTATTTTTTTAAAAGGAATTAACTTACTCGTCAATTAAACTAAGCGATTCTATATTACGTGTTGAAATATTTTATTCTAGATTGTGCTTGAATGGGAAGGTTATAACTTATACCTTACAATCTACAAGAACAGAGCAAAGCATACAGTGGAGTGATTAGATTTGATTTGAATTCCAACCTAAGTGTCCAAGACCTTTAAGGAGAAGGAAATAACTTTCACTTTCTGATGGCTTTGGCACTATAAAGTATGTATGTACGCCCACAACTTTTTGACCTGTTTGTGAGATAATCTCCCATTTTCACTCAATTCGTGTCCATCATAGAAAAGACAGCCAAAATGATAATTCCTGCTTGGAAACTATCAATGATAAAGATGTCCAAATATGAAAGGGTAGAAAATACCATACCATACCAGAGATTCAGATATGTCAGATGTCCAAATATGAAAGGGTGGAAAATACCATTCCTACACGATATTAATGGCTACTGGGTCCACATAACACTTCACTTTAATTTGCTGGCAGCTACAGATCACAACTGCCTGGGAACCTAACATCCAAATGCATCTTGTAATTCACTCATCCATTAAGATTTAGAGTAAGAATAAGTATGATTTTCTAGTGCAAATCTTCTTTTGTTTTGATATATTGATTTTCTCCAACTTAGGTTAAACTAATCCTAATTTCTCATAATTCATGTCCAAAAGTCGCTGGGGAGGAGGTAAATATATAGTGAGTCGCCCTGTCAGTCTACAGATTCTCACCCTTTGCATATACATTTTACGCTCACATTTGATCGGTCAAGGTCTCCCAATAATCCCGTAAAATCCTCACACTTCAATGGAGCAAGACTCGTCGAACCAATTGAGCTAACCCCGTGACAGGTAGTGATACTTAGCTTCTTGCATGGGTGACGACATATATAAGAAGATGCCCACAAATCCAACAACTAAAGCAAGAGCAACCCATAACATCAGTAGTCATTTATCCACCCACTGGAAGATCATATTGGAAGGGGAAATAATCCTGCAATAGTAGTACAGAACTGGCTCGACAAAACCATGGAGGGCGGAGATCATCATCAATATCCAGGACCAGAAGATCATGAGCCTGTGAGGTGCCAGCAGCCCTCAAGCAAAAAGAAGGGTGAAAACTGCAAGAGGTTCAGCCATGAACAAGTGAAGTTACTGGAATCCATGTTTACGTTAGAAACGAAGCTCGAGGCACATAAGAAGCTGCAGCTGGCAAGAGATTTAGGGCTGCAGCCTCGCCAGGTAGGAATATGGTTCCAGAACAAAAGGGCCAGATGGAAGGCAAAGCAGATAGAGCAAGATTACAGAGAGCTTAAAGCCAAATTTGACAACCTAAATGTGCAGTTTGATTACCTGAAGAATGAAAACCAGTCTCTGCTTATGCAGGTATATATATAATGTTATTGTTAGCTGGGTTGCCCTTTTCTTCTTGACATCTCTTTAACCATCAGTCACCATAAATCTGACTAACAGAAGCTATGAAAATCTTCTTATCATTCCCAAACAGTTGGAAAAGCTACGTTCTGAGGTAGAAAACAAGCCCGCTGGGCACAGAAAAATCCAAGATTCAAAGGGCAGTAAGGTGTTCAGGGATTCAGACAGTAAAGATGCAAACTTTGGAACCAAAGAAAACCCTGAGATCAAGAGGGGCGAGGATGCAAACGAGCTGGGAATAAATGAATACCTTGAACAGCAAGAAGAAGAGGCAGAGTTCTTGAACCTGGGAGGATTAGGAGGAGACAGTCCTTTATCCTCACAGGAAAACTGGTGCTGCATCGGCTTAGGCGATGCCTTTTGCCACTCATGTGGGACTTCAAAATTGTGGGATATTTGAATGTCTGATCTTCAATTCTTCTCAACATCAAAGATAACATTTTAAGCCCACAACGTAACAGTCCTTCCAACAATCAAAATGGATCTCAGTCCTTCATTTTATATACGTTTAATTTGACAGTGAACAACAGGTTTGTTTCTTTGTTTGTTTGTTTTTTTTCACTCTAAAGTCAAAATGGTCTGAAAAAAGGAGGCAAAGAAGGGCGGCTACCAGGCCAGTTTCCAGCCAACATGAATAATTTATGTACAATAGCTTAATATTTACTGCTTTTTTCCTTTTAATATATAGGGTATGGATGATAAGTTGATATAGGTGCAGTGTGTAGCTCATAAACATATTGAGACAGAAGTAAACATCAAATGTAATTCCTGCAACTTCTAAATTCCTGTTTCATGAACATATAAATTAAACAAACAAATTTTACACATATGAGGGTTTGGCCGAGTGGTCTAAGGCGCCAGATTTAGACTCTTGTCGAAAGGGCGTGGGTTCAAATCCCACAGCCGTCAACTCACCTTTTTAACATTTTCAAGTTGGCCTTTGCTTGATTTGAAGGGTCTGTCTAGAACATTATTGTTGGGTTTGATTTGAATGGCCCGTCCAGCACAATTGTGCTATTAACTCTCAGGAGTGATTTGGGCTATTAAACTCTACATTTGGTGTTCAGAAGCAGATTCCTGTATGAATTTGAGAAGTCTTTTAAACAAGATTGATTGATGCTTTATAAGAGGAAGGCCATCTCTATCTAACGCTATGTTAATCAGTTAATCCTTGAAAAGTTAAATTATTGTGATCTAATTTAACCACTTCAGTTTCTGGGCATAGAGTGATTCACCGTGATCGTGCAGATGCTGACCGAAGATTACGAGTGGATTATTTTTCAGAAAATCCAAAATATAATGAAATAATGTTTCGTAGAAAATTTTGGAATGAGTCAAAATTTGTTCTTACGAATTGCAAATGCTGTTGAAGGTCATGACAACTACTTTGTGCAACGGAGAGATAGAATCGGTAAACTAGGCTTATCTACTTTTACAAAAAATAATGGCCGCATTTCAAATATTGGCTTATGGAGTAGCAGCAGATGCAACAGATGAATACATTCAAATGAGAGAATCACCTGCAAGAAAGTTTGAAAAGATTCTGTCGAGCAATTGTTGAGGTCTTTGGAGAGCGTTATCTAAGAGCACCAGATGCAAATGATGTTGCAAGGTTGCTTCAAATTGGTGAGAGACATGGTTTTCCAGGGATGCTTGGGAGTTTAGATTGTATGAATTGGACTTGAAAATATTGTCCAACAGCTTGGGCGAGACAATATCCTGGGCATAGTTAAGAACCAACTATTATTCTGGGTCAGATAATGACATTAATGTGTTGGAGTCATCTCATTTGTTTGCAAATCTAGCAAACGGTATAGCACCTCCAGCTCATTATGTTATTCAAGGGCAAGAGAAATAGCACCTCCAGCTCATTATGTTATTCAAGGGCAAGAGTACAATACCGGATAGTATTTAGCTGATGGTCAGGGCCGGATTTTAGGCTGTGCAAGCTGGGCTACCGCACAGGGCCCCCAACTTTAGAGGGGCCCCAAAGTTTAGAGGTCCAATGCTTAATTTTTACCTAGCTAGTTTATAAATAAAAATTAAAAGTTTTCAATTAAATTTAAAAGGTTCTATGAAGAGATGGTAAAAATGTGTATTTGTTGTATTTTAACTTTAAAGTCAAAGGTTCGAAACTTACATGTATTAATTTTAAAAATTGTGATTTTGGTAGGGCCACATTTATTTACTAGAACAGGGCCACCAAAATTTAAAATACGGCCCTGCTGATGGTATATATTCGAAATGGTCAACCCTTGTACAAACTATTCATGACCCTCGAGGGCAAAAGGAAGATTTATGTGCAACAATGCAAGAAACATGTAGAAAAGAGGTAGAACGTGCATTTGGGGTTCTACAATCACGATTTGCAACAGTCAAGGGACCGACATGTTTTTGGGATAAATGCGTATTGCATGATATAGTTACATCATGCATCATAATGCACGATATGATCATTGAGAATGAACGTGATAAGCAAGTAGTAGACATACAAAGTTGGAGGGAAATGACATCGTGCATCATAATGCACAAGAATTTCTTGCTCAACATAGACAAATAAAAGATAAAAAGCTCATTATGCCCTTCGTAATGTATTGATTAAACATTCGTGGAAACAATATAGTAATTCTAGAAATTAAATGTAATAGGTGTTCTATGCTATATTATTGTGAAATAAAATTATTATTTGCATCAAACTTAGAATTTATATTTAAAAAAAAGAGACTAGTAAGCAGGAAAAAGGCTAAGATCTTTGCAAATTTTGTATTTCAAAAAACTCAACATTGTCAAACTCAAAATTGCAACGAATGTCTTACAATGATACAATCAATATCTTAAACACTGTCTTGTAACCAAGCAATTGAGACAAACAAGCCAGCCACCACTTTACTTGATCTTCTTCTTTGGCCTCAACTATAATAACAAACAAAATGGCAAGAATCAGTGAGAAGCCTATTAGAACCTGGTTCGCAATGCTGCCAGCAATGTATACCGAGAAACAAATTAAGCAATAACTATCGCTCTACCTGATTGCTATGGCCACACTTCTTCTTCCTGCAGTTGACTGCACGGGGGTGTAAACGGGCATAGCATCTGCCAAAAGAACTAGTTATGCACGAGAAACACAAAGTCCGATACCTCTTAAATATGCTCAAAGACCAAAGGGCACTGCCTGACTAATGTGCAAAACTATTTGGATCAAACATTAGAAATAAAATTCCTAATTAGAACCACAATATCTACTGGCTATCAGTATTTGGATCAGAAACTATAAACAAATTCATACTTAGAACTGCACTTTCTAATCATCCAAAGCTATTAAGGAAAGAGACAAGTCGTTCACTACTACCAGAATGTGCATCAATAATGTTACAGAAATACAGTCTATGAAAAAGATTCCTAAATTGAGTTCTTAGGGAGTTGAAATGTAAGTAAAACAAGGCAATGAAGGGTGCAGTACAAAATCCAAGTACAGTGAAGTAGTCAACCCTTTTATGATCAATAATCTTGTTAGATATTAAAAACATCACAAATTATTTGTAAGGAATTAATACTATTTAAAAATTAAAAATTGAAGAACTAATATGAACCAAGTTTTGTAGACATGTTAAAATAAATTGAATTACTTCCTCTCATGCAAAATTGTATACAGTCATATCTAAGACTCAAACAAACTCATGATTTTTTGTTTATGAGCAGAGCTTAAAAAATGTACTTTACAAAGTAAATGTGTAGCTGAAATGTATTAAGGGTGAAATCTGAAATGCAGCTGAAAGAACTTACTTGCGGCAAATCATCTTGTCCTGGTTATATTTGCGGGCTAAAGCCATAAGAGATGGTTCGATGATCCCACCGCGAAGCCTTAGAACCAGATGCAAAGTCGACTCTGCCCATCAAAACAAATGAACACATATACCTAAGCTATGATCATACAGGCCAGGGAAAAATAAGAGATTTTTCAAATTGAACTTTGTGACTAACCCTTTTGGATATTGTAATCCGCAAGCGTACGCCCATCTTCGAGCTGCTTCCCGGCAAAGATCAAGCGCTGCTGGTCCGGGGGAATACCTAAACAGGTCACAAAATGAGAACGGCAACGAAATCATAAAATGGAAAATTGAGAAACAAAAGCTTAAAATTTCAGCAATTCAATATATGAACCCTACCTTCTTTGTCTTGAATCTTGGCCTTAACATTGTCTATGGTGTCGCTCGATTCGACCTCGAGAGTTATGGTCTTCCCCGTAAGGGTTTTAACGAAGATCTGCATCTTTATCAACTCGCAACGCCAAGCCCGTAGCCAGCTGCCGTCGTCTACTCTGTTTGAGCTGCGATTAGGGTTTAGGAGTTGTAGCTTGAAGCCTTGAAGGTCTGTCCCTAAGCGAAAAACGACGCCGTGCTTCACAATCAAATTTTGTTTCCCAGTTCTGATTTTATTTTCAATCAAATTTTGGAAAACAATTACTCTGTACAAGAAACTGCACTAGGTTCTCTTGCACTTTTTTTAATTAATATTTTTATGAAAATTTTTAATTTTTATTTCAATTTGTGTAACGCTTTTAAGATTTCAAACTTATATTACAAGACTAGACTATTAAGGCATTGGTAGTATCCAATTTACTTTGAATATAGTGTTGGATTAAAAAAAGACAATGAATACAAAATATATCTCTAAACAATAACCTATAAAAAAAAATTTGAAAATTATTAAAAAGTATTTTCAAATGTAAATACATATATTCTTCACACATATATCACTATCACTATCACTATCACTATCATTATCACTATCATCTTTTGATCTATACTTAGTGATAGAAATATTTTTCCAAATTACTTTGGTGGGTAGAGGAATATGGATTGGTAGAATAAGGGTTGAGAAATCTTTGTGCATTAACAAGAAATTCTTTTTTTAAGGGAAAAATGTTGATAAATTTATTAAGTTTTTACAATTGGGCCACTAGTAAAATAAATTTGTATAGTCAAAAACTGAACTCTAATCCATTAACCTTAACAAGTCGTGTTTGTGTTTAACATTATTGTGTTTATTGATAAACTTGTTTACGCGAATTTTCAAATCCAATAAAAATTATACAATTAACTTATTTCATTTGTCAATATAACATACGGAATACAAAAGAATGCTAATATCAACAAATTAGAATATCTATTATTGCCATCTCAACAAAAAGAGATAATTATGATTACCTCTCGCCCTCCTCATCAACTTAAGAGAAAGAACTAAAATGTTAGTTAAACTTATTTTAATTAATTAATTTAATCGCAAAGTATAATGCATGGTAAAAATTATGGTCGTAATATAAAGTACTGGAAAAAAAAAAAAGGAGTTTGTTTTTTGGTCTCAGTATTTTCAATTTATATTTCAACGATTTTCATAAAATGGAATTAAAAAAAAAAAAAAAAAAACAAAACAAAACAAAAGAATAAAATGAAAGAAAATTTAGTATGACACGGTTCATGATGTCAACTCCCATGGCGTCACAACCGTCCCTCCGCTTCCTCGGAATTCTGAAACCACCTGACTCCGACCACCTCGAGATCGACGAAGGCGACCTCTTTTGGTCCTCTTCTTCGGACTCTTCCCCCTACGCCACCTCTCCTTCCCCTCCGACGCACCTAAATCGCTCCCGCAACCACTTCAAGTCAGCGATTTCCGGCCTCTCCGCCGCCCTCAACGACGACAACCACCTCGTCCGCCGCAAATCCACTCTAAACCCTACCGTCTCCGGCGCCTCTACCGCCAGGATAATCCCTCAGGTCAACTCCAAACCGAATCCCAACGGCGGCGTCTCCAAATTCTACCAATCCGCTCCGGTCAACGTGCCCGCCTGGCCCAAGCATAAGAAGGGCGGATTCGATGCGTTTGAGGAGCTGGATGAGACGGATTTCCAGCTCGACGAGGACGAGATGGTGCCCCCTCACGTGATCGTCGCCAGGGCGCACGTGACACTCTCCGTCTTCGAAGGCGTAGGACGGACTCTCAAAGGAAGAGACTTGCGTCGTGTTCGCAATGCTGTGTTTCAGCAAACAGGTTTTCTTGATTGACACCCTAAAAACAAAACCAAAAAAAAAAATCCAATTATCATCGTTTTTGCAATTGTAATTATTAGTTCATCAACGAATAAATTCATGAATTAGCATATTAGCACTCCTGCTGCCATGCTGGTGATTGATGTCGTCGCATTACCTTCCGACTTGTAAACAAATGATTTTATCAATGAAATTGAAGTCTGTATTTTTGTATCTTTTGGTATTCTTGTGAGTAATGCTTGTGCCATTTCTTTTGCACTGCAATTTTACAAGATTCTTTGCCCACAAAAGCGAAATTCCCTCGCCCCAACCCGCTCACCCAGCTCCACAGGATCTCGAACTGGGAAGGGGTAGTGGGAGGATCATGTATGTGCCCACCACATTAGATGTAACTCTCACAATGTGACTGTCAGGGCTCGATCATGTGTCTTGTTCATAATCTACCAGTCAAGAACCAATTGAGCTGTCCGTGGAGCAGGCAATTTCACAAGATTCCTATTCTAGAGATAATGGATTAGCTAATGTTTGATCAAATGCTTTCTGACACTGCTGGAAATTATGGAATTTCCGACCACCTGAAAGTGATATTAAATTAAGTCGAAAGCCTTGTTCTGACCACTTTTGGTATCTGGAAAAATCTTTATTGCTATTTTCGACCACTTTTTGCTTTCGACTTGATTTAAGATCACTTTTATGTGGTCGAAAATTCTATAATTTCCAGTAGTGTGAAAAGCATGTTATTCCCTTTGTTCTTTGCTTTTGAGTAGAATGCAGAGTTGGATCTTTCTGAATCATAAAGCTTATTATGAGGGTGGAGTTGAAGTCTTTGTTCAAATGATTGAAGAAGGAAGCATCTATTTATGAGGAGGATGCAGCACTCATGTCTTGAAACAAAGCTTGTAGGGCATAGAAGATCATTGTTGTCATGATTTAGTGTGGGTCATGTTCCTGGAACTCTGAGAATCTGAAACGTCAGTGCCCACAAACTCATTCCTGTTCCTGAATAAGATTTGGGAACTAGAATTGAGCAATGATCATGATTGCAGTGCACTTTGTAAGGTGAGTATGATAGATTCCTGGGGCATAGGTGCTGGTTCCAACTGTGATGGCTGCTTTTTTTGTGTGCTTACTAATTATTTTTTGAGTGATAAGGAAACTTGCAGCAACAAGGATTCCGCCTTGTAATCCTAACTAACAACGGACCACAACAAGGTAAATCAGCCTAGATTGTCTATAGCTGACCAGCTCAAACTAAGAATGTCAATTAAGCCGCTCCCGCTGGATGTCAAACTTGTAACCTTGGGGTTATCAAGTTAATAGTCTGACCAACTTTGGGATAAACCAGCCTAGGTTGTCTATAGTTGACCAGCTCAAATCAAGAAGGTCAATTAAGCCGCTCCCGCTGGATATCAAACTTGTAACCTTGGGGTTATCAAGTTAATAGTCGACCAACTTTGAGGTAAATCAGCCTAGGTTGTCCATAGTTGACCAGCTCAAACCAAGAAGGTCAATAAGCTGCTCCCGGTAGATGTCAAACTTGTAACCTTAGGGTTACCAAGTTAACAGTCTGATTGCTTCATGCTGACTAAATTTTAGCATGTGTATCTCTTGTCAACAATTCTCAAAGTGTTGTTTGGCATGCTAAGCAGAACTTATGATGTACAACAAGGAGGCTAATCCATTTGTTTTCAACAGTGCATCTCCAAGAGAAGAGAGGGGAGGAGAAAGTGAAATTTATGGTCTTGATTATTATCTATAAGCATATTACAACCATTACTCTTTGGCCACTTTATTATGCACTAAAAGTTGACCAATTGCACATTATAAATGATCTTCAATAGCTGCTTTTGTAAACTTTTTATCATTATTGCATTCTGTCTACATCTCTAATTAGGCTCACCTCTATCTTTTCTAACTAGACATTCTTCCAAAAGCCTAATTGTAGTGTCTGGCAATGCCAACCTTTTAAACTTTTAGGATGCCTTTGCAGGCAAAAAGGTCATGCAGATTGGAGCTTTGACTTTGGCCAATGCGAGTATCGACTGTGGGAGGATCCACAATCCATCGCCACAGATCAGACCCGATGCAACTGCAGGGACCATCAGAGTCGCCTTCTTGCGGTTGAGCCTGTGCCATGTGTACACAACGAGACTACCCATACACATATCAATTGCGAAAGAAGCCCCAACGAGAAAAGGAACAGCCATAGCCATCGGGAGGGGGATCCATTTCCCGACGTTCTTTGGGGATAAGTCTTTCAGCAGGTTGGCAACCATGGCAAAGACGAAGAACCCATAACAGAGCTGCAAGCAATGCTGGGGAAGCGTAGAGAAGCCTTCAACGGCTAGGATGGCCATGTTTCTATATATAATAGCGTAAGGAGCTTTGTACTCCCCATCCGGGTTCCCCACGTCAAATGTCTTGTAGAAGAGGAAGAACGAGAGAGGAGCCACTATACAACCCATGGCAGTTCCAACCGCTTGGCTAAGGAGCATCGATCGAGGGGAGGTTAGCGTAAGATGGCCCGTCTTGAAATCGTGCATCAGATCAGACGAGATTGAAACAATGGTCTTTATGAGCCCACATCCAACTAGTCCAGCAACTACACCATTTTCTTCCCCGGACAAAGCAGCTAATATAAAGAGTGCCACTTTTCCATAATTATATGCCATATTCATGTCGGTTAGACCAGCTCCATAAGCATTGCAGAAGCTCAGAGCAGGTGCAAGAACATAGGCCACGAGAACAAAATACCACTTCAATTCGGGGAACATGATTGGGATTATGACTGTGGCAATAACAACGAAAAAAAGGTACCCTACGCAAGCTGCCCATAAGGGAATGCTCTCTCTGATGAAGAATTCGTTTCGTTGAAGATTGTCAAGTGGCTCATCCTTGGTTTCTGGAACTGCTGCCACAGAAATGTCTTATCATTTAGATTCATTTAAATACCAAAAAGACAGTGATTAAGTGTGACAAGATTTCAAGGATTAACTTACAGGTTCTAGAATTCTTCTTGTTCATTGCAGCAAATATTCTTCTACTGGTGTAAAATAATGTCCTGAGGAAATTGTAGAGGCCATCTCCCAGGATGAGAGCAATAGAAATAAAAACCTGAATATAAGAAAACGGGTGGTCACTTTTTTATACTCTCGGAGGATGACGTTTGCTGGAAAAAGCATCACAATACTCGAAGGACCATTGGAGGTATTAAAACAAAGAATTTTGTCAGATTATTATTTTCCACTGACCTTATAACCATTCAGACTCTTCATGCTGTCTTGTGGTAGAGTTGCAGGGAACCAAGAACCTTTGCGTTCACCAATCAGCGGCCACATTATTCCCCAAGAAGCAATGGCTCCAACGAGCAAAGACAAATTCACGAGATGAGAACAAATCATTCCTGCTCCTACATACGTCATGCTGAAGTCGAAATAAAACCTGCAAAACTTCGATTCTTCAAAATCAGCAATGATCCGATGAATACATAAATCTTACCAATAACATATATAAGGAGAAGTACACACGAGTGTTTCAAGGCCTGCAACCCAAGGGTGGGGAAGTGGGAAAATCCGCATTGAGCTCCACCACTATAAAACCACTGAAAGAAACTCCATAAGAAACTGAAGGAGAAGAATTTCACGAACCCACGAACCTGTTTCCTGAAAATCCCAACAAAAGTTCGGATTTCGCATAAAACTCATTTCCACAAGGCAATAATTTTCATTTTTCAATAGTGGTTATACATACTTAGCCTCGTTGTCCCCCTTAGGCGTATGAAACCCATTGATTAGAACAGCAGTAGCAGTTCCACTAGGATAAGCTAACTTATAGTCTATTATCATTATCTGCAAAACAACAGAAACATTACTAAGATATATCCTATGTTATTTTCCTGTTTGGAGTTGTGCAGTTCAATTAAAAACATTCACCTTTCTGAGTGGAACCAAGGCTAATAAGCCAACAAAAGTCGAAACAAATAAGAACGGAATGATCCAATTAAGCCTTGGTTCCTTATGACTCCCTGGAACATTTCCCTGTGTATCCACCCCAGCCTGCTCATATGTTCTCTTGTTCAATCCCAGCAGATAAGATCCAAAACCACCTTAATTAACACAGAATTTGAACTTAATTGACAACATTAACACCACCAAAAACACCTGGGAAATTTAAAAAAAAAATTAAAAAATTTGCTAACCTCCCACAGCAATGCTATAGCAGGCAACAGCACAGGTCTGAATAACAGTGTTCTCCTGCTTGGTGAATGGTGTTGAAACAATATTAGCCTTTTGAAGAAGCTTACACCAAAACTGTATCAACACATAGGCAAGAAGTGCAGCCGAGACATTGAGATTTGGGACAAGCCCAGTTGTGAGATTCAGCTTCGTCACTATCACACTGTAAATCATCCCAATCAAGGCGCTTGCGATCACCCCTCGAACTGTTATCTGCTTCTTCCATGGAGGAATCCTCTTCAGATCCTCCGTTTGTTTCCCCCTCTCTTCCCCTTCAATCTCCATTCCCAGCACTGCCCCATCTTCCCTGTCCGCCGCGTTCATCTTTAGTCTACACTCAAATTAAGCCCCCCTTTAATTATATACACAGAATTCAAACAGTAACAATCATAAAAGAATCAAGAATCTTACCTGTGGGGAATTTGGATAAAGTAAATGGAGAAAAGCAGAGATTTTTATTGTGAACTCAAACCATTAAACTCTGGGACCTATTAAACTGATAAATCCCAGAGAGCCCAGAAAGGAACTTTCAAAGAATTGGGGACCAAACACTCCAGGGCAGAAAATCCAAATTTAAAGGGAGAAAAGTCTCTGCTCCTAACCTATGACCTACCCATTGATGAGGAGAAGATGGTGTTAAGATTGTGTGAATGTGAATTCAACCAACCCACCCACCCCATGTACTAGTACTACACTGCATGGGTAGTACAAAAGGAAAGAACATCCTCAAAAGGTATGTGTACTACATACGTCCAGAACCAAACCACAACATTAACGGCA